TCCAGCCCGGCGGCACAGTCTGTGCACTGGTTGCCCATGCCACCGGCGCAGGCGGCGCAACTAATGTCGCACGGCTGGCACGACTCGCCGTTGCTGAACGACCCGGCCGGGCAGGCACTGACACATGCGCCGGCCGCCGTGAGCAGGAGCCCGGGAGCACAGGACAGACATGCGGTGCCCGTGCAGGAGGCGCACCCCGGCTCACAGGCGACGCATGTGCCGGTGCCGCCGGGGCCCGGGGCGGGCCCGGCCCAGCGGAACCCCTCGGCGCACACCCGGCACTGGTCCGGCCCGCCGGCGCACAGCTCACACGACCCATCGCACGCGGCGCACCGGCCGGCGCCGACATACTCGCCCGGGGCGCAGGTGCTGCCGCAGAGGGACGGCACGCCCGGGTCCGGGTCCAGGAAGACCAGCCCCGGCTGGCAGGCGGTGCAGGCGGCCCCATCGGCGCACGCGGCGCAGGAGCTGGCACAGGGCTGGCACGCTGGCCCCTGGGGGAAGTAGCCCGCCACGCAGTCGGTACAGGTGTCATCCTGGCCGCATGCCAGGCAGCGCGGCTGGCAGGCGATGCATGCGGCGCTGGCGGCGTCGGGCCGGAAGCCCGGTGGGCAAGTTGCCCGGCACTCGTTTTGGTGGAGCAGGCCCTGGCCCGGGAAGCATTCCGTGCAGGCCAGCGCTTCTCCCGGCACCGAGCACTTGGCGCACGTCGTGTGGCAATCCAGACAGCCGGACGCCCCGATGGCAGGGGGGACCGAGGGGACCTTGGCCCCGTGGCATGCGGTGCAGACCACCGTCGGCAGGGGGTCGGTGCTCGGGCCCAGGTGTTGCACCTCGCAGCCATCGCAATCGTCATGGCACGCGCAGGTGCCCCGGTGGAAGCCAGTGACCGAGGCGCCGGTGCATGAGGCCAGGCAGGACTGGCCATCGTTCGCGGTCCCGGCCAGGCGAAAGGTGCAGCTGGTGCAGTCCCCCAGGCCCGGGCCGGTGCAGGATGCGCAGGCCGGATGGCAGGCCGCACAGGCCGGCCCATGGGTCCCCTCCAGGCAGAGGTCCAGGGCCATGGACAGCATCACGGGCTGGGACTGTTCATCGGGGGAGGCCAGCAGCACATGGACCACAAGGATGCCGGGGTCCGGCGGCGTGGCCAGCATGCCGGCACCGGCGATGCCGCTGGCGTGCGCCGCAAAGACCGCCACCGAAAGGCCGTCCAGGAGGGACTCCGGCGCCGGCAGGAAGCGGGCAGCCTGCAGCCAGCAGGCCCCGGTGGAGGGGTGGCACAGGAGGGCCGACAGGCCGACATGCCCGGCGGTCCGGAGAACCAGCAGCCCCGGGACGCGGTAGCCGAGGCTCGGCGGCTCGGCCGGGGCCGGCAGGTCCACCGGCAGGACCCGGTGGCTGGGGACCGACGTACTGGACCCCGGGAGGGTGCCCAATGCCTCGAGGTTGCTGGGAATGCCCGTGCTGCGGCCATGCCAGTGGGACCCGGCCGGCAGGTGGGCCGCCTGCCAGACCACCTGCCCGTCCGCCAGCCGGAGCCCGGACAGGAACACCTCGCCCGGGGCCGGGCCCAGGGTCAGGGCCTCGAAGTTGGCCAGCGTGTCGGCCGGCCGGGCCAGCGCCCGCTGGCCCATGCCCACTTGCAGGCGGCTGTCCCCGGCCAGCAGGAGATCCAGCGGGTGGGCATGCCCGGCCAGGGTGCCGGCCGGGTGGGGGGCCTGGTCATCCTGGCCGAACAGCAGCCACGGCGTGTGGCCCGGCGTGTTGGACTCCGGCACGCCCGGCAGCCAGGTCGGATGGCCATGCATCCCCGGCAGGCCGGCCGCCGGCCGGACCTCCAGAGACGAGTTGGGCCCGGGCAGCGACAGGAAGTACACGGTGCCGTCGTCCGTCAGCACCGTGGCCAGGTCCGCGGCCAACCGGCGAAGGGACCGACAATTGGAGATGCTGAGGTTGAAGGGCACTGGCGTGGCCACCGGGCAGACGGAGGCGCCGGCGCTCGTCCCGGAGCAGGCGAAACGCATGGACAAAGTGGAGCCGTTGGCCATGCACATCAGCACCAGGGCCGGGCCGCCGGCGATGCCCAGCTCCACCGCGTCGATGATCGTGAACTGCAGAATGGGCAGGCACGGCAGCTGCGTGGTCGTCAACGACGTCGGCCCATTGGGGCCGGGGACGATGGAGATGAGCAAGTTGGACTGTTGAGTGATGCCCAGCAGGTCGCCTGGCGTGGAGGTGTCCCGGCGGAGGTGGCATTGGTTGTTGTCCGGGAAGAGTCTCGACCGGAAGACCACGCTAAGGCCATTCGGAAATTGCAAACCCATGCTGGTGGTGGCGAGGGTTGGAAAAAGCGGGTCGTCGCCGGTCTCGGGCGAGGAGTCCGGCACCGCGGGCAGGCACCGGCCATCGGGGGGCAAGTCATCGACCGCGAGGTCGATGTTGGCGCATTCCTCCTCGCAGGTGGTGTCCCCGGTGGAGGGGTGGACGACCAGATGCAGGCCACTTTCGCACACGAGGCACGTCGTGTCGGAGCAGACGTCACAGTGGTCCGGGCAGGCGGAGCAGGCGTCTGGCCTCGGCGAGGAGCAGCCGCCGCAGACGCCCATGGTTCCCGAGCACCGCGCACGCCGCCCCGGGATCGGTCGGTGGCGTGCGGCACAGCGGGGCCGTGGGGCAGGCGCACGGCGAAGCCCCGGGGGCCGCACGCAGGCAGGTGTGGCCGAGGCACGAGGAGAGGGCCCATCCCACAGGGAGGGGGTGGGGGGGGCAGTGCGCGCGGAAGCCCCAGCCAGGGCACGAGAATGCGAAGCGGGTCAGGGGCAAGCGCGGGGGAGGGAGCCACGGAGGCGAGCACACACACACGGGCGGCGGGCCAGGCGCCGATGGACCGCGGCGGGGGGGGATGCTGCCATGTGGCTGTTTGCTTGGGGCGTGTGCGAGCGTGCGTGCGTGCGTGCGTGCGTGTGTGTGTGTGTGTGGCAGCCGAGCCGACGTACGCCGTGAGTCCGTAAACCGGCGGCCCAGGGCACAGGCCGAGCAGAGGGCCTGGTCCCGGGCGAAGAGGGCCCTCTCGCGGGAGTCCTGGCAGGTGTATCCGTCATCATGCTTGGCCTCGGAGGTGGCGTCGTCGCAGCGGATGGACTGGTCGCTGTTGTTCAGGGAGAAGATGCTGCTCGGCAGGTAGAGCTTGCGATTGGCCAGGCCCCAGATGGCTTGGCCCTGGGAGTCGAGCAGCTGGAAGGGCCTGAGGGATGTGGCCTGCTCGGCATTCGGCGGCAGGGCCACCTCCGACAGTGCCACCGCCTGGGGATGGGTGAAGTCCAGGCTCAGCTGGAAGAGCTGTCCCTCAACGGTGTGCACCACATGGATCCAGGGGGGCCGGGTTTGCGAGGCTTGCGGGAACTCGGAGCGCATGGGCGCGATGAGGCAAAAGTCCGGGCCCATGCCAGACGGCAGGGTGAGCTGGAAGGAGGCCGAGCCGCCCAGCGCGTCTGCAGTCGCCTTGGGATAAATGCGGACCTGGCCATTGGACAAAAGCAAAACCAGGCCATCCGGCGATTGCGCATCCAGCGGCAGGACCGCCACATCCAAGATGCTGGCCTGGACCGGCGTGATGTCCTTGAAGGCGAGGGAGGGTGAGCCCCCGGGGAAGAAGACCCGAAGGCTGGTCCCGGACCAGACATAAATGCTGCCGCTTGGTGAGAGGATGGCCCTGGCGGGGGGCGAGCTCGGGGCCGGGAGGGTGCGGAGGGGTGTGGGGTTTCCGGACTCAAAGAGCATGAGGTGCGCGGGATTTTGAGCGAGGAAAGGCCCTTGCAGGGAGGTTTGAGTGAGGGCGCGGTGACCGAGGTATTTGCTGACACCTGTCGGGGTGGTGCATTGCCAGTCGTTGGTCGAGGACCACACGCACATCCGGTTGTTGCCGAAGCCAACATGGCAGGGGCCTTCCGGGCTGGGGGTCACGCCTTGAAAGGCGATCAACTCGTCGGTGGCCAGGCTGCTGGTCTCGCGGCATGTGGACAGGAGGCCGAGGTTCTGGTCCTGGTCGTGGTCCAGGAATCGGGCCCCGGTGCGGAAGTCCCGGCCGTTGCCGGTGGCCGGGGGGGTCTGCTGCTCCAGGGTGCAGATGACCGACTGGCCCGGGTACGCGCGGGCCAGCTGGGTCGGCCGGCCCGGGTCGAACCGGTGCAGGGCCGCGCCCGAGGGGTTCGACAACCCGGGGCAGAGGTCGCCCCCGGGGGCTATCTGGTAGTGGATGATTTCGGAGGAGGTAGCCCCCGAGTGCAGGAGCGCCAGCACGAGCGCCAAAAGCACCAGGCCCAGGGTGGGAAATGCGGCGGCCCGGTGCTGCTCGGGGCGGGGCGGACGCCCACACCGGCCACCGGAGGCACGCATGGCGAAGGGGTGCCCGACAGGCGTGCGGGCGGCAGGCAAGAAGGAGAGAGGGAGGGAGGGAGGGGGGGGGGGGGGGGGCGGAGGGGACAGCGCGACGGGCCGGTGCCGGGGTGCGCGCGCGGGAGACGGGAGATCTATCTGGCTGGCGGCCCGGGCACAGGCGGCTGCCGTCCTGCCGGCCGATCAGTCCCGGGCGCTTGGCTCCCCACCCGCGGGAGGACGCCGGCCCGGGCGGCCGGGGAAAGGGCCGATCGGCCGATCTGGCCGCCGCGGCTCCCCGCCAGCCGCCATGCCAACCACCGCGCACGAGCCCGCCCCGCCCCCCACAGAGAGAGGGACAGAACGACACGCATGTTGGGCCGGGTGGCTGGTGTCATCCCAGGGCAGCCGGCCGGCGGAATGTCTTGCGGGGAAAGAACACCCCCTGCGCAGGTGGGTGTGTCCCGGGCTTCGGGCCCTGCGGGGGCCGGCCCGGGGCCGCCGGGCTCGCCCCCCCTCCGACGGCCGCCCGTGTGGCGGACCGCCGGCCGCATGACGGCCACGCAAGCCTGCCATACTGGGCAGCCGGGGCCCTTCTTCGCGTGAATACCTGCCACCTCACACACATACGCCGGCACGCGTCGGAGCCGGGCCCACACGCCATGCAGGGGGCCACCGGCGGTGGGCAGGGGCGGCGCGGCGGCCGAATGGCGGGCCCTGGGGCCGGGCGGGGGGCGGGGGGGGG